AGTATGCCGAGGAGAGTGCAAGCTGTAATTGATACAAATGGGTATCCAACCCGATATTAAATATATGTATGAATAGCACTTTTGCTGAATAAAATGATATATTTTTTATCGTAATTTATTAAAGAGAAGTTGAGAAATATCGATATTAATATCAAAATTCGTGACCTACATTGCCGATCATTTCCCGATTCCAAACTTTTGTCCAGTGAGTGTACATACACACATACGGAACTACATATACTACACGATTATCTTTATCATTCAACCAGCTCAAATTGTCAAATGATCATTTTCTGAAAGTTCGTTATTTTTTTAGCGTTAATAATTCAATCAAATTTTTCAAAAATAGATTCAGCTCGCTCTTAAAAGCTATAATTTTAGGGGTCTCATTATTAATTACTACGGAATAATTAAAAATCCCAGCTACAAATGAATATTCGATAGTGATGGTTGTAGTGAATGTACATTACAAACGAATTCATAACGAAATTAATTATGAATATCAAAAAATATTCGAGTTGATTCCTTTTGAAAGATTTACCAACGTTGAATTTCTTGCAAAAGGAGGTTTTTGTTTAATACATAAAGCTACCTGGTTGGATGGACCACTAAATGGGATCATGAAGAAAATAAATTTGAACAATAGTGAGAAATTAAGGTTGTGTTGAAATCATCGAACTTGTAATTGATGAACGACCATTTGTATAAATGGAATAAGACCTACGACACCAAATAATATTCCTGAATGGCGCAAATTTATCATTGAAATGAAATATCCTATTCCAAAAAACAGAACAACTATTGATGAGCTTGATGGCTTTATCTACTCTAACTACGAAGATATTGAAGCTTATTGGAAACTGAATTCCAATATTACTGCGCTTTATAAAGGCAGCAATAGAGTCACAAAAAAAATCTACCAAAATTATTGAGTTTCTGAAAATGTGATCACAAATAACCTCCCTACGAATACGAATTCAGAACAACACATCCGCCCAAACGCAATTTGCACGAATCGAATGTTCATATCAATCCAAACTGATACGGGCATGCACTTTTATTTTATTTTCAATCAAAATAACATTTCGGGGGGGGGGGGTAATTTTAATATATCAACATTTAGATTCTACAAGTGTCGGTTTGTATTTTCCAAAATTACATTTAATATTATTCCATAAATTTCTTTGATTTATTAATTTTATTATTTTTCATTTGATAACTATCCCAACGTGAAATTAGCAAGCAGCTCGCCTTTGTAACAAAAAATTTCCTTGCAAATTTTACAACAAAATTATTTAACTATATAAAGCTAATCATTGTTGGCATTTTGACATGTTTTTGAATGGAATTAACATAGTCCAATATTTTATGTCCAATTGAAATTGACTGTGTACATATTATGTCTATATTTTTTCAATTAGTCCCAAATGTCAACACTGAAGTTAACTATAAAGCATGATTGGATGCTGAGTCGGAATCACATGACCAGAACATTTTTTTCGTTAGAGCTATGATAAAATTAAATCCTTCCCCTGATCATGTTATTACAATGATCATTGTACGTGAAGTTGTAGAATTTATAATGAGTAATAAAGTAAAGTGCATGTATAATACACGTCAAATAAATACATAAAACATGTATAACTCACATTAGCTTAGGATCCGTCTGTGAATGAATATGCAAAATGAATAATTTTTTGTAAAAAGCAGAATCTTTTCCTGGCAGTATTACTTATAGAGAGAGAAATTTTAATACACTTTATAATAATTTGAAAAATTGTTCATATATAGAGCATTCTTATAGAGAGACACGACTGTGATCTCCTTTATTTACAACATAATTTCCTTCGCCATTTCAATCATTCTCCCTCATATTGTAGCTATAACATCAACAATAACCGTAATTACTGACACAAGTCTTTAAAATCTAGTTAGAGAAACACTATTTCATTGAAGAACTTCGGTCTAATCTCCCTCAGCGTGTTAATTCTGTAAATTCTGAAACCCAATAAATAGGATAGGCGTAACAATATCCAACACGTAGTATATCACATTTAAACATGTATTATAAAAATTATATATTTAAATTATGTTGCATATTTCCTAATTATCCTAGCTATTGATATATAATTCACTAAATATCACCGACATAAGCCAACAACGTTCTATCTCCAACTGAAAGTTTTCTTAAACATTTTTTGTTATTTGATTATTTTTATTTAACTATCTCTTCAATGTCTTTAAAGATTTTACCATTTCTATAGCACGTCAAATCGTTTGCTCTATTGAATTGATCTCCAACTCGTATTAATTTTTTTAATTAATTAACAAATTAACAATATGTCTTCAAAAATCTCATGGTATATACTTCCTGATAATATTCATGTTTATTATTATCGTTAAAACAGTATTTGAATTTTTAAAAGTACATACATCAATATTCATGTTACTAAACTTAAAATGGTACATGTATCATTTTCATATACATGCAAAGATAAATTGGAAATTAAAGTCATGTCTAGCACTAAGTAATAAAAGATCGTTTTCTATGAATTTCTATGTCTCATTCTCATCTCTATTAAAATTTTGTGGAATATAATGATAAATCTATTTATATTAATACATATATCTGCATATAAATAATCTTATATTTCATTGATAATGTCTCTTTTTCATATGTTCAAGCGAACCAACTTACTGCATGTACATGTATCATTTTAGGGTGACATACGGATACCGATACATGTACATAGATTTAATACTGCTGCACGACAATAAGAATAAAATTTCTAATTCATGTATACTGCTGATTGTCGAGCAATGAGCGTATCAATGTGCTCATAGTAAAGTAATGAACGCTTCTTTCCATATTATGAATATCATCAAATTCGGAAAACTGAATGATAGCCATGTGCTCATAGTAAAGTAAATGAACGCTTTCTTTCCGTATTATGAATATCATCAAACTCGGAAAGCTGAATGGACATCCAAAAATTAAATATCAATATTCCAATCAACCTTTTGAAAGATTTATCAATGTATCCTGTTAAGGAGTTTTGGATCAATTTATAATGCATCTGTGCTCATAAAGAAAACGAGTTCAAACTAACTATGAAATCGAAGAATGGGCTAAAAATGAGCATGTTACTTTTCTGTTTTCTAATAAACCATCCAAAACTGGTAGTTTGTGCTTACCAAGATTCTATTGTAAAGGTAAATTACGACAGCAGTCGCTTTTGTGAACTGAATTTTCCTGTTCGTACATATTTGAAAATCGAGATGCATTGCATCAGTCAAGAGAACTAAATTCGTTTCATCTTAGAACGCTAAAATTGAATTTAAGGATATCGTTTACGAAAAGGATACTCCTTCTTTCGAGAAAAAATTAGTTTACAAGCTAATGTTATCATAATCATTGTTTGTAAACTAAGGAAATTGCTAATTATTCTTCACCTCACATCTTAAGATATTTTGCATCACGTATCATTACTGCAATGTCTCAACCAGCTGAAACCACTTTCTCACTACACTCGCCACGCATGAAATCATGTTGTTGTTGCTTTAAGTTAAAAACTGGTGTAGTAATCATTAGTATATTATGGCTTGTAAGTCTTATTATTCATAAACTTAGGTTGGTACGAATTGTTATTAAAGTAATTTTTTATATTAGTTCTACGGTCTTTATCGAGCTATTACTGACTTGATAGCATTCCAAAATCGCGATAAACATACGAATAACTGTGAGTAAATCCAATTTTTTATTGTTATCAATATTTCTTGCTAATTCAAATTATACTTGGTAGTCTTTTCGCATGTGTACACATATACTATTATCGAAGGAATATTATCATTATTCATTGCGATTGGAGCACTTTATGGATTATTCATCGTGAGTTTCGCGGTAAGTTGTAAAAAATTATATCAATTAATTTAAGTACATAATACATGTACATGTATCCATATTACTATCCATGTTTATTTTCCAGAATAAAAGACGACAACTCCAAAACTATGTGACAATCGCATGGATAATTGTTGTCCTTCAAAGTTTTCTAAAAATTGCCAATATAGTTATCGTAATTGCATTTAAAAACTCGTACATGAAGTACTGTAAGGATCAAGATTATGATGAAGATACGTGCATGTCATCGTATAACATCCTGTTATCTGTTGAAATAGTTCAAGATTTGCTTGCAATCATAATTTCAGTAAGCTATTTTTTACATGTAGTAGACAAAATCCACCTGAAAGGATTAATTTTTAACTAATGCATTTTATTTATAATAGATTTATTTTGCGACTGTAATTGCCGCATATAGAACACATCGATTCGAAAAAGAAACAACTGCGGGAGTCGCGGAAGTACAATGAATTCGTTATTTAGTCTTGATTTTATATTTAGTTATTTTATTGCATGTATTTTGTGATATAACTTACTTTTTATTATAGCTGATGTATTTTCTTATTATTCAAATTAAATATAATTTCAGTTCAATAAATTTTATGCTTTATTTTTTTATATTTGACACTGAGAGATCATTCCCGATAGTTTAAAGAGACTAATTTAATTATATTTTGTTAAAGACAATATTATATTTTAGAGAGGCCGGATCAAATTTATATTGGTAAGCAACTTTCCAAAAACAAAGACCTTCTTCTACTTCATATCTGTTAATAGGAAAAAATTAAAATTCTCCGAAAATTACAAAGTTACAGAGGGCGATCAAAATAGTATGCGTACATTTTTTAAAATAAAATTTCATATAAAATAATATAGTAAAAATAAAATTTATTAAGTAAATATATTGATAGATTGTCCTTTATTAATTTTATGTAAAAAAAATTATATATTAATAATTAATACTATATCCATTTGCAGCAATAACCGCTTCAATTCTTCGCGGCATTCTGTCAATTAATTTTTTATAATATTCTGGAGAAATATCATCCCACGCATCTTTAACATACTTCTCAAGTACTTGATATTGAATGGTGGTGGATCACGACGACGCACCATTGCTTTTATTTTTCTGCCCACATATTTTTGATAGGGGACTTTGTGCCGGCCATTGAAACACAATTTTGGCATCTTCGCGGGTGACTTTTGAATGTGAGTGGCTTCATATTTGGTGAATGTTTACTAAACACGGTGGTTTTCTATATATAGAGCGTTAAATGACGTACTTACAAATTCGATTGGTTTAGAAATTAGAAGAATTATATAAATTTATTCCACACTGGTTGAGTTTTGAGGTTATAAACCATTAACTGATCAAAAATATACAGGAAAGCAAAAAATAAAACCTAATTACTACAATCTTAATGAATACAATAACGGCGGGAATGGGAAACTGCTGAAGAAAGAATATGAATCGAATTTCGGATTTGATACATATGCATTTATTATATAATATTTTCACGCTCATTTCAGAAGTTAGTTGGTTTAAAGAATTGTAGACACGACAAGGGTCGAGTGCAAGATTGAATGATCTACACAGATCTCATTGGGATCCTAAAGGTCTCCGATGCCAATCTACGGGGATTGTGCAATCAAAGGGCAGAGAATTCAAAGGGAGCAAAGGCAAAGTATAAATAAAAATTGAATCAATAGTTATAAAGATATTAGGTTCAAAGTTTAATAATTAAATTATTTACTATATAATTTTTATATTAATTTTAATTAAATTTTATATAGTAAAATTTAAGAAATAATAATTCAAAAAGTTTATTATTAATAAAATTTTTTATAAAAGATACATAAAAAAAATTTTTATATTTAAATAAATCCCTAATAACTTAATTAAATGAGACAGAATTAAAAATTTTATTTTGAAAAAATAATCTATTAATATTTATCTGATGTATCAAAATTTTTGGAACAGACCATACTAACAAAGTAAAAATTTTAATTCCAAATAGGTAAATAACTATAAAAATTTACTAACAAAATAATATTTAATTCAAAATGCAAAAGAGATTTCTCCAAAAAATACAAATTAACAATATCAAAAATCAAATGACTGATTAATCCAATAATCAAAGAATTAAATGAGACACAAAAGAAATAAAAGATGAAGCACTGTTAGGTAAGAATTTTATTTATTTTTCCTCAAACCGCATATTAACTTGTCTCTCTGACTTTTGTATACAATTTGGTTAAATAACTATCTATCCCACAAATCGTAAGTTACTACAAGAATTCGTGGGCCCTAACGTATGAAGTAAGAATTTTGTAAGAATTTTATTAAAGGTGCTTTGAAACAAAGAATAATAATAGAATTAATTGTAATGATTAAAAAAATAAAGTAATTTATTTTCATTTACAGTGCATAACAAAAAAAAGCAGATATTTTATTTTTGGTTATATTCAATGAATATTTATTTAATTCATATAAAATTTTAATATATATACTTGATAGCCTAGAAAAAAAGTTTACTTAAAAGTATTTAATAGCTTATCTTAATAAAATTTTTCATAATTAATGTTTTTTTATTA